TGCAAGAGCTAAATCTGCCAATTGCAATGGCATCGCTAGCCTGTGATATTTACTGGATTATAATCCGGTCTGCTGCTTCTGATTAAATCAAAAAGTAGATAATCGAGACTATTTTTTTTATCGTACCGATTTTAGTAATAATGATCGTAGCTAGGCCCAAAATTCAATCGCTCAGTACTCGGTTTATGCTGGATCAATTTGACTGAAATTTTCAACAAATTGCCTTTACATTATCTAGTGAGAACTGCCAGTTCTTTATCTAATCTCCCATAATGTATCTTTAACATACAGTGTAGTTGATTTTATAATCATTTGTTCAGTGTTTGAATTTAACTTCGTCTTTGTTTCTTTTTTAATATTTATAAATTTAAATCAACACTTGGCCAAAAATATAAATTCAAACCGTTTTCTTCGAATTTATGTCAGACCTTCAGGTTAGCTGAGCCACCACGACATTAATTTGTATAAGATTATATTCAAAACAGCCATAAAGTCACCTGACTATCGTAAACCGACGACCTGTTTTAAAGTACATGTAGTTTAACATGACGTGTTTGTAACATGTGTCTATGTGTAAAATATATTATTAAGTTTATTTAATATCCACTGAAAAACCATTACAATATTTATTGTTTAATACGATGTATATATACTGTTTTCATGATCACGGTCAATATTATTTGTCATCTGGTTTGTTCACGTATCTTCTTTTATGTAGAATATAAACGCATTCGAATGTACTGGGGTTTAATTGGATGTTTCGGACTGATGTTTTATGTAGTGTGGTGGACATTTTACATGGCCTTTTTTCCATTGGTATTCAGTAATGTAAGCATGCATTGAAATGAAACGGATTTAACGTTTAACATTTTTCAATACCAACACGGAAACGTTAAGAGTACAGGAGCTAATGGAGTGTACTATGAGGGAAACGTTACGAGGACAGTGGAAATGAAATGAAAATGAAATGAAATGGGGTTTAACGTCCTACTGTTCTGCTCCTATGCTGGGCTAATGAAGACGGGCTTATGCCATACAGTGTGCTATGAGGGAAATTTTGCCCGGGCAGCGGCACTATCGCCTGCTCTTATATCGAATTCCAACTGCCAAGGGGTCTTTTACGTGCATTCCAATGTATACACGGGACCTCGGAAGGACAGTGGCTAATGGGTGTGCTAAGGGGGAAACGTTAAGAGTACAGGGGCTAATGGGTTTGCTATGGGAGAAACGTTACCAGGGCAGTGGCTAATGGGGTGTGCTATGGGAGAAACGTTACCAGGGCAGTGGCTAATGGGGTGTGCTATGGGGGAAACGTTACCAAAACAGTGGCTAATGGGGTGTGCTATGGGGGAAACGTTACCAGGGCAGTGGGTAATGGGGTGTGCTATGGGGCAGCGTTAACAGGACAATAGCTAATGGGGTGTGCTATGGGGGGAACGTTACCAGGGCAGTGGGTAATGGGGTGTGCTATGGGGGAAACGTTACCAGGGCAGTGGGTAATGGGGTGTGCTATGGGGCAGCGTTAACAGGACAATAGCTAATGGGGTGTGCTATGGGGGAAACATTACGAGGACAGTAGCTAATGGGATGTGCTAAGGGGGAAACGTTAAGAGTACAGGGGCTAATGGGTGTGCTATGGGAGAAACGTTACCAGGGCAGTGGCTAATGGGGTGTGCTATGGGAGAAACGTTACCAGGGCAGTGGCTAATGGGTGTGCTATGGGAGAAACGTTACCAGGGCAGTGGCTAATGGGGTGTGCTATGGGCGAAACGTTACCAGAACAGTGGCTAATGGGTGTGCTATGGGAGAAACGTTACCAGGGCAGTGGCTAATGGGGTGTGCTATGGGCGAAACGTTACCAGGACAGTAGCTAATGGGGTGTGCTATGGGGGAAACATTACGAGGACAGTGACTAATTTGGGTGTGCTATGGGGGAAACATTACGAAGACAGTGACTAATGGGGTGTGCTATGGGGGAAATATTACGAGGACAGTGACTAATGGGGTGTGTTGGTGGGGGGGGGGAACATTACGAGGACAGTGACTAGTGCGGTGTGTTATGTGGGGAAACGTTACGAGAACATTGGCTATTAGGTGTGTTATGGGGGAGACATTAGGCGGCCAGCGGTGTGAAATGGAGGAAATGTTACCAGGACAGTGCCGTTTCCGCTTACTATTCTTCAAATTGCAATTTAGCGATGAACCACAACATGGACCTCCTACACCCAGTATCTTCTTAGTGCCTTGATGTAGATCAGCTATAAAGCCGTATATAAAGTTTATCAAATCCAGTGTACTAATTCGATAAAAGCGAGCAACCGATCGCGAACCAACACCTTACTGGTAATCTATATTAGTTCATGACCGCCAATCCTACCAAGCTTGACAAGTTACGCAATAAAAATCAGATACAAAATATGCATATTAATAGACCAAGGTATGTATTTCCAGTCACCACGGATATACACCGAGCTCAGTAAATGCCCTAAAACAATCTGTACAGAGAACTTAAAAGCTTTCTAGATGATCAATTTATTTCTCATACAAATAATATATACGTGTTGATATTTCTTTAGTCAGGATATTACTGTCTATTATTATCAATCTTTTTACTCGATAATTAACGACGCCATCTGTGTTTTAATTATTTATTTATTTAAATTGATGTTATGTCTTCTAATTGATATTTTGTCGATTAATTGATATTTTGTCCAGTACCGGTAATTGATATTTTTGTATCTTATTTCATTTTTTGTCGATGAACTCATATTTCGTCGATTAATTCATATTTCGTCCATTAATTCATATTTTGTCCATTAATTCATATTTTGTTCATTAATTCATAATTCATGTCTTAATTGGTGTCATGTTAATTATAATTATAATCAGTCGCTGTACCACACGGTGCTGGTATTGTTGTTGGGTCTCTACATGCCTGTTCTTCTTCATAATATACCAAACCTTTAAAATAGAACATATAATAGAGAGAGAGAGAGAAATGGGCTTTAACGTCCACTCGACACAAACTAGGTCATTTCGGGACTAACATATGGTTTTAATTTTATTTCAATAATTTGCTTGCGCGTAGGGGTCTTTAGCAGTGGGAGGAAACCGGAGGACCCGGAGAAAACCCACGAGGTTGGACAGGCGACCCTACTCCTTGTCACGTACAACCGGGGATTCGAAACCACGCCAGTTGACTCAATGACAGGCCTTATGATACAGCGCGCACGTGCTAACCATTCGGCCATCCACCCCCCCCCCCCCCCGAACATATAATAATCAGCTATTACAGTACATTAAAGGACAATATTGGTGCCAGTCATTATCACATATGTGATAGAGCTGGTTAAACACATTCCAAATACAATTTTAACACAGAGATCATTGCTACGATAGCTGAGTAATACAGGTTTCCTGAATCGGAAGTGACGAACGCCAAAGGAAAACACGAGTCATCTCTCTATATAACTGACTGATAACAGATACACGGGCGAATTTCTGCTGACTAACAATTCCTTCGAAGACCAAAAGTTACCTGACAATTCAATAAAGTAATTGAATGTCATTAGATAAGAGAAAAATAGAAATAGTCCGTACATATATTGTTTATTTTCGGCCTAGCCTCGATCATCATTACTAAAGTCGTAACGATAAAAAACATAGTCTCGATTATCCATTTCATGATTTAATTATGAATGGAAGTCGAACAGCAAATCGGAAACTAATCAAATAAATATCGCAGGCTATCGATCCCAGTCGATATCGAAGGCTAGCCTTGACATCAAGAGTTGATTATGGTCTGGATAAGTTAATTAATGTCTAATTAATAATTTAGATAACATTTTAGGCCTAAAGAAAGACCCGCAATAAACAGATGTAGCTCTTGCATAATGTATGTTTAAGTACTATACCTGAAGGACATTTTTGGTGACCAGCGAAGTAACCATAGTTACACGTGTAGAAATAGGTACATGGTGGTTCAGGTCCAGAATCTCGTTCCGGTTTGCTGAGAACTATTTCACCCAGACTCTGACATTCGTTGGTTCTATCAAAATTACACGGGGCTGGCGCATTATTTACCCTGATAACACAAAAGAACAATAACAAATTATACATAATCTGTTCTTCGTGAACTACAGGACTTGGGAAGAATGTCTTTATGTGGGTAAAAATATAAACGCAAGCGGTTGCCATGCAAGATACGCTCACATTTTGTAAGAGATGGACAGGAAACAAAGAAAAATCGGTGGACATACCAGAATATTATCGTCCGATATGTACGAATATCAAAAGGTTCTGGGATATAAAAATATATTGTAAGTTTCATCAAAATCAGATAAACAATCTGATCTCTAATCCGACCATAATCCATGAAGTTACGGTAACATGCTTCAGAGTGAATCTTGCGTTTTGATTGGTTAATTAGACACTGTCGATTGGACAGTAACGCCGAGATCTTTGGGACATAAACCTATATTTCAAGTTTCATCAAAATTGAGGAAGGGCGGACGGATGGGTGTATAACAAATTACACTGAGAGCGGAAGGTAGATACTCGCTAGAAGGTAGAGTTACACTACTGCCTATGAGAGGAACATGCGAAAAATAATACCTCTTCTCATTCCCTTTTAATACCCTTTCCTTTACATATACTCATGAGGGTTCCCGTGTGTTCGATCCCTGCGTTGGCCGAGAAGGTTCATCTGGATTTTCCAACATAGTTATTCCTTGTCAGTGATACAGGATATAGTCGTCGAATGGTACAAAAACCGAGGTCCCATGTCCACATTGGCGTGCACGTAAATGACCTTTTTCTCTTAGGAATTCGATATCAGAGTAGACGGTAGCGCTGCCGTCCTGGCAAAATTTCTTTCACTGCCATCTGCGCGATGCATGCCCGGCTTCATTAACCCAATCAGAGCAGAACAGTAGGGCGCTAAACCCCATAGCATTTCATCTCTCTTTCTCTCTTCCCTCTCTCTCCTTTACATATACTTACTCTGTACAACCCGATTGCTGATTGTAGGCGTAACCATCTGGGCAATCTGTCTGGATATGTGTACCTCCTCTACATTCACCAAACGCTCTGCAACCCCACCAGACCACGCCCTCGGGTAATCCAGAACAGTCAAACTGGTCGGGTTTTTTCTGACCATTGGCCATACCTATAAAACATTATAAAATGATTCATCATTTCAGAACATTTAGAAATTACGTGTATATCCTTTAATTAGACCAACATTATATTCTAGTACTGGAAATAGGAAAGAGAATATTATCCATTGCCAATTAAGAAATAAAGTTAGTCACTTATTCCACCATTTACCTAGTGAAACAAAGGTGTGCCCTAGGTGTAATTCTACAGACGAAGATAATTACCATTATTTGTTCATATGTCCAGCCTACTCTGCCTCAAGCCCATCTCTTCAAAATAATATACACCAGCTTAAACAAAATGTTACAATGGGTCTAATTTTATATGGCAACACCGATCTTTCAGATGATACCAATTCTAACTTATTTGAAATAGTGCAAAAATATATAAAAAGATAGCAAGAGGTTTTAAATCATATGGTTCAATTTTAGTTCAATAATTCGTTTGCGCGTAGGGGTCTTTAACAGTGGGAGGAAACCGGGGGACCCGGAGAAATCCCATTACATTTGATATTCGACCCTACTCCTTGTGCCACGAAAATACTCCCCACCCCTACGCTCATGTTAAAGATCAGTGAATCCAATCCTCATCTTTAAGATTAAGACCAACCTTGCAATTTCATTTATAGTCTAGAAAATGACCTAAACTGAAACGAAGTTTAACGTTCTACTTTTCACGCCCCTTATCTGTGGTGCAGGAAGGAGGGTCTAACAAGGACAGCTGTCAAGTCATGAGAATGGGACGAAAAACGGCGGCCTCGTATATACGTTAGCCTTAACGTAAAAGATCCCTTGACAGTTGGAATTCGATATATGAGTAGGCCATAGTGCCGCTGCCCGGACAAAATTTCCCTCATAGCACACTGTAACGCGTATCCCCGTCTTCATTAGAGCAGAAGAGTAGGACGTTAAAACCCATTTCATTTCATTTGATTTCTACTTTTCAGCACCAACCGAGCAAATGAAGACTGGTGCACGCTATGCATTCTCAGACTTAAGTTAAGAATTTACTTAACTTTCAATCACTGTTTTTGAGAAATATCTTTGATCCAGAAACACAACACTTTGCACGTAGTTTCTTATTGATGTGTTTGATACATTCAAATTAAAAAAGTTTTATAAAGGACTATATTTTAGTTTCAATAGGGCGAACAATAAAACTTTTGTTGCTTTAATGTATCAAAATGAAAACGAAGTGGAATGGGGTTTAACGTCCTACTGTTCTGCTCCGAACTTGGCTAAAGCAAACGGGCATACATCGCGCAAAGTGCTATGAGGGAAATTTTGCCAGGACGGCGGCGCTACGGCCTACTCTGATATCGAATTCTAACTGCCAAGGGATCTTGTACGTACAAGCCAATAAGTACACGGGACCTCGGTTTTTCTCTCATCCGTACAACTAGGCAACTGTCCTTGTCAGGCCCTCCGTCCTGCATCACTGACAAGGGGGTGGGGGGACGCCTTTAATGTATCAATACACCAAAACGAAAAGAAACTATGTGCCAAATGTTTGTGTTTCTGGATCAAAGATATTTCTTATAAACAATGATTGAAAGTTGAGTAAATTCTTAAGCACTCTCAAACTTAAGAATTTACTCAAAATTGTTCACCTTATTTTGACTAAAATAGAGCCCTTTATAAAACTTTTGTTGTTTGTTTTAATGTATCAAATACATCAATAAGAAACTACGTGCAAAGTTTTGTGTATCAATACACCGAAAAGAAACTATGTGCATTTTTTGTGTTTCTGGATCAAAGATATTTCCCATTTCGAGACTAACACATAGTTCGGTTTTATTTCAATAATCGCTTGTGCGTAGGGGTCTTTAGCAGTGGGAAGAAACCGGAGGACCCTGAGAAAACCCACGAGGTTGCACAGGCGAACCTACTCCTTGTCACGTACAATCGAGGAATCGAAACCACGTCACTTGACTCAATGACATACCTTATGATACAATGAAATGAGAGTGGAGGATAACAAGAATACAGACACCTTTAACAGGTTCTCTCCTTGCTTTCATGCCCCGCCCTAGTCACAGACAGAGCCATATATTATAGTCATCGAAAATAGTGTTTCATCTTACCTGCTAACAATAACGCAGTTAATATCCACCAAATCATTTTGAACGACTTCTAAGTTATTTCACGTAATGCATGAACGGACCCTTTATATATTGCATTTACCACCTGAACTTTATCCCGTAACCTTTAAACTATCTGTCATCTTCACAAACAGAAATGATTAGGATTTGCCTTGGGTTTCCTACGCGCATACATACACACACACCAGCCCCCTTGTCCCATTTGTTGTTGATTTTGTTGTTTAATACTCTTCGAAACGTCGCTCAAATAAATAAGTAGCTGTTTTTCCATAAGTATGTGTTATAGTTTATTGCCCTATCCAGTTACTAAATGCATCTTAAAGATTCTCTAACAAGATATTATATGCACATTCTTGTGTTTTTCAAGTCGTTGCGCCTCTGCGTTTCGCTGTATATAGTGAAAAGCGTTCAGCCCAACGAATATTTTGGGAAAAGTTGGAGTCGAGAAAAGAGACGAGAAAGGATTTTTGTTTTCTCCGTAAAATGTGAGTGTTCTACGTTCCGTCAATCGGATGTAATGTTCATGTCTTCGTATCTTGATTGTTTGACAATCGAGTCTATCATACTTTCATGAAATTCGTAGACTTGATTGTCAAACACTATTGCGAATTATGGGTGTTTTTGACCCGTAGACAGAATGTAGGGCCGTAGACAGAATGTCCAAGTCGCGGCCTTTGACCTCACCTTTCTACGTGAAAGGTAAATATACGCCATTTCAGCTAGATCCTTCGAATTACTTTTTCGTATTTTTGTGATGAAAACTGTCTTTTTTAAAAAAAAACAAAACCAATGCGTCTAGAGAACAGTTAATATGTATTGGTCAGACGAGGTTGATATTAGACAAAACAGACATGATATATAACTTTTGTTTCTGGCCTTCAGTATTTATTGAACGATTAAGAAGCGGGTTCCGATCGACGACTTGAAATTTAGTAACGAGAGAGAGAAATGTGATTTAACGTCCACTCTAAACAAACTAGGTCATTTCGGGACTAACATATGGTTTTTAATTTTATTTCAATAATTTGCTTGCGTGTAGGGGTCATTAGCAATGAGAAAAAAACGGAGGACCCGGAGAAAACCCACGAGGTTGGACAGGCGGAAATTTTGTAACGCCCGTATATGTAAATGAATGGAGAACATTAGACCAACTACTTAGCCTCGGGGTATTATTATTTTTAATTATCACTCACTAACACATTCTACAATAGATATCGCTTGTGTGTTAAATTTCATAATGTACTGCGATATTTCCTTAGGAGATATCGCTTTACGTGAATTTGGTTGGTCAATTAAAAAGGGACTACATTTTTTCATTTTCAAAAAACAATTTATTTTTTTTAAAGTAACTTTCTATTCTTTTTATTAAAATGGAATTATTTTTATTTAATTGACGTTGATGGAAACACTGGGTCAATATACAGGACTTTGCAATGGTTGAATTGCTTGCAAAAAATAATGTATCACTACGCCGTAATGCAATCAGGTTCAGTAAAAGTGAAATCTATAGCAAAGAATTATATTTATTTATTTGGGCATGTAAGAATGGATTGGGTGATAAATAAAATCTCATACTCGTCTTTTTTGATATCAAAAAATATCAACACTTGTCGATAAAGTAAAATAAACTCGCCAAAGCCTCGTGGGAGATTCTCTATCTATTGACCTATTATATAAATACGATATTTATTGTTATTTTTTTCACTATTGGGTATAATATAATTATTGTTGACAGATTGAGAGTGGAGGATAACGAGAATACTGACATCTTTAACAGGTGCGTGTTTTAACCGGGTGAGAATTTCACAGATAGAATGTCAACGTGTCCCTCGTGCAGTCACGAAAAACATAAAAGTGAAAACAAAATTGAAGTATTATTAGAAAATACCAAACATTGTAGCATTAGTGTGCGTCACATACTTATAGTTGTTGTTTGTTTGAACTGCTACATTGTAAGAAATACAGTATTATTATTTTCAATACCTTTCCGATATGTTAAATTAACACACTGTCAGAAAGAGAGATAAAGAAATGGTCTTTAACGTCCACGCGACACAAACTAGAGAGAGAGAGAGAGAGAGAGAGAGTCAGAGTCTAACGTCCACTCGACACAAACTGTTTTTTTTCGGGACTAACATACGGTTCAATTTTATTTCATTAATTCGCTTGCGCGTACGGTCTTTAGCAGTCGGAGGAACCCAGGAAACCTGAAGAAATCCCACGAGGTAGGACAGGCGATCCTACTCCTTATCGTGTACAAGCGGGGAATTGAACCCACGCCACTTCACCCAATGACAGACCTTATGATACAAAGCCCACGCGTTAACCATTCGACCACCCCAACCTAATGTCCATACACTATCTAATTAGCTCTTTGTCGGCCCGTCAATGAGGCGCATGCTCACTAACCAGTGGGGTCCGGGTTCGATCCATTTAATGCTTGGGAAAGGTCTTTCTGGTTTTCCAGTGTGGTTTCACGGTGTCTATGGTGCAGGAGGTGGGGCCTGGCAAGGAGCAGCGCATAGTCGCTCGAAGGTCCTACAGCGTACAGGAAATAAAACTTGACCGTTGAAATTGCGCGAAGGGTGAATAATTTGAAAATGTGTCTCCCCCATAGATTAACCAAGGGGTTAGTGGAGTAGAACGGAATGAAACAACTGGGAATAGCGAGGCTGGGCTAGAACGTATGCTCCGACTGCATGAGAAAATATCTCAACCAACCATGACAGCTGCAACACATTCGTTGTGTTTAATTACGTCATGATTCTACTCACACCACCTGTGTCGACAGGGCTGACCGAAATGTTCCGTCAATTCGGAACGGTCAGGTCTCAGAATAGAGCATCCCCAGTGTAAATGTTTCATACCCATCTAAGCTTTAATAAAAAAATAACTTTTTTAGGACTAAACACAATGAAATCAAGGAGTGGTCGACAAACCAGAAGTCAGACAGCGGATAATGTGCGCCTCCATTTCAAGCGGTTGCGATAGAAAGGAGTACATTTGTCCCTGAATTTTATGGCCATTTAAAATACAGATGTGACGTCATCCTTATTTCAAATAATCGTACGGGCAACTTGCCAATCGTACAGTATTTAGACTAGTGAAATATTGGACTCGCGTGACGTATTTCACTGTAAAAGCACGTGCGGAGTGTCTGTATTTTAAGTCGTTTGATCTCGATCTTAACACATTGCGTAAAAAACTTGGGCCTACGGGCCTCTTGTTGTTACAATATATTACTTAATGCTCTCGCTCTCGACATAATTATAAGTCTCTGTCATTCAGGCAAATATTCTACGAATATTAGTATGGATGGGTTGTCAATATTTGGGAATAATAGGTCATTGCCTAGATTATCCGACCTTTAATATTATCATGAACAAAGTCCAAGGGAGTTAACTAGCCCGAAACAAGATTTCGATAGCCCGTGAAATTAATTAAAAAATTGCTATTTCAGAAAATTCATTTCCATTGCCAGTTCATATCTAACACCTTTATTGTTTTTTTTTATTATTTTACAATTTCTCTCTTCATTGACAATATCTATATTTTTAATTAATCCTAATTCGTCGTCACGATTCATGTTTGTTTATAATTATTTATTTCGGGAAGGGCTGGACTCTTACTTGACATGGCGAAATTTACTGGATAATCAGCCACATAAACAACCAAACTCCAGGTTACTCATGGCCAATGGAACTTGTTGTCAAATGTTGACAACAGACCCAGACCCTCCGTACGTTGAAGACTATTGAAACTGGAATGTAGATCTAGTTGAATCAAATGATATTTTATAATCTCCGTGCAAACAGGTTAATAGTTCCTGTGAAAGATCGTGACTTCGTTCTTGATATCCAACACATTGGGGATGATCGTTTGAACGTTCCGGAATTGAAATTCTGCCAAACCAAAAAATACGGACAATCGAGTGACCATGGGAATGTTGGGCTAGAACGTATGCTCCGATTGCATGAGAAAATATCTCAACCAACCATGACAGCTGCAACACATTCGTTGTGTTTAATCACATCATGATTCTACTCACACCACCTGCGTCGACGAGGCTGACAGAATGTAAGAGGACTGAATTCCGCGGTAGTCGATTGCGATTCAGTCAATTCGGAACGTTCAGGTCTCACAGTAGAGCATCCCGAGTGTAAACGTTTCATACCCATCTAAGCTTTAATAAAAAAAAAACTTTTTTAGGACTAAACACAATGAAATCAAGGGGTGGTCGACAAACCAGGGTAATGCTCGAATCCATTTCAAGGGGGGAGGGGGATGGCCGAATGGTTAAACCCCATCTCTCTCTCTCTCTCTCTCAAGAGGTTGCGGTAGAATTATTAGTCTCTATCATTCAGACAAATATTCTACGAATATTAGTCTTGGTGAGTTGTCAATATTTGACAATAATAGGTCATTGGCTAGATTATCCAGTCTTCAATATTATCATGAACAAAGTCTAAGGGAGGTATCTAGCCCTAAAACAAGATGTTGACCCCTATTTAATTTAATTAAGAATTGCCATTTCAGAAAATAAATTCATTTGCATTGTCAGTTCAATATCCAACACACTTATTTTTTTATTTATTTATTTTTTGTATTTTTTTTTGTGTTTTTGTTACAATTTCTCTCTTCATGGACAATGTCTATGTTTTTTGATTAATCCTGATTCCTCGTCACGATTTATGTTTGTTTATAAAGATTTATTTCGTCGGGATGGAACTTTTTGTCAAATATTGACAACAGACCCAGACCTAGCTACGAGAACGTAACTAAAAACGCGGAGATATACTGATGTGCTTGATTTTAGATACGATTGGATGCCTTTAGTTCCCAATGGCAAACTCAATTTCTTTATTAATGCATGTACCATCTTAAATATAAGTTAATTTTATACTATTAGTACTTATTACACATACGCAGTCCAATCTACTGAAACAACATTCATTTATCATCAAATATTGACAATAAAGTAAATCAAGCGTTGTTTTTATCAAAATTGATTCGGACGTTCATAATTACGGCGTATTACTACTGCTCAACTCTGATCAGATTAGTACTTTGATTGGCTATTGCACACGAGACCCCGCCTTTATGTGTTACAGACGTAAATTTAAAATGTCGGAAAAGCAATCTACTGTCGCTTTGATTTTAAACAAAGGGGGATTTGTACCCGTGCCAGGTGGGATTATATGCTTAATTGTAGTTGGGTGTGGCAGAAATATTATAAATAACAATAATCAATCATTGTTTTGATGAAAAATATTGTCAATTTTGTTTACTAATGCCGGATGCGAATCGCTCCCGCATTTGCTACGTTGAAGTTAATAGGGCCAACTCTTATCTCGAAACACGGAGGGCTGAGAGATGAGGTTTGTTATCCAACCCAGACCCTCCGTACTTTGAAGACTAGGAGGTTCTGGGTGACCGAGGTTATATAATTGTGTAATTGGTTAAACCAAATGTATATAAATGTGGCTCTATATGACCATGTACATGCAAAGAGAGAGGGATAGAGAAATTGGGATTAAAGTCCACTCGACATAAACTAGGTCATTCCGGGACTAACACATTTATTTCAATAATTCGCTTGCGCATAGGGGTCTTTAGCAGTAGGAGAAAGCCGCAGGACCGGGAGAAAACTCATGAGGTTGGACAGGCGATCCTACTCCTTGTCACGTACAACCGGGGAATCGAAACCACACCGGTTGACTCAATGACAGACCTAATGATACAGCGCCCACGTACAAACCATTCGGCCACCCAACCCACCACCATGTACAAGCAAGGAAATTCGTTAATCCTACATTTAATTAACGTTATACAATTAATCTTCTATAACGGTGATTTGACACCATCAATATAATATGGCGTGCAGTTGGAATATGTTTTAAATAGAAATATATAATCAATATTCAATCCTATATTTATTATCAATCGTGGTTCAATCATGCCTTGGTCGGAAATACATAATCAATATTTACAGTATTCAAGGAACTGGGTCTTGTAATAACTGAAATGAAATGAAATGGGGTTTAATGTCCTCCTGCCCTGCTCTCACTGGCCTAATGCAGACGGGCATACGCCCTACAGTCTGATATGAGGGGGTTTGTGCCCGGGCAGCGACACTATGACCTACTCTTATATCGAATTCCAACTGCCAAGGGATCTTTTACGTGCATGCAAATAAATACACGGGACCTCGGTTTTTCGTCCCATCCGAAAGACTAGACAGCTGTTTGCACCACTAACAAGGGGAAACCGCATCGGAAAATCCATGTTAGCAAGGCAGCGCCTTGCCCGCTTAGCCACCGTGACTTCCTGTAATACCGTACAAGAAGCAGTGTATGCTTAGCCACCGTGACTTCCTGTAATACCGTACAAGAAGCAGTGTATGCTGTCTCCTTCCAGAATATCAGATACCAGATTTGCTGACAGGATCGCGTTCATTTTATATTCTATTTCAACCTCGTGGGTTTTCTCCGGGTGCTTCGGTTTCCTCATACGTTTTAAAATCCCAGGCCCGCCCACTTTCTCCATCCCGGATACCCCCTCACTGGTTAATGTTTGGGATTTTTATTATAGGTTCAGCAACCCCCACTATCGCTTTGACCTCACCTTGAATTGGTTCGTGTGCGCAGATAAATAGATAATGTAATAAAACGATAAGTCTTATAACTAATGAAACATGTATCCTTACCTTTAATACACCTGTAATGTTCTTTGTATTGACACCTTGCAATGACGTCACATGCGAATACAGGTAGAGAAAGGTAATATGGCCTACAGTTGTTATATTTTATCAAATAACATTCAATTATTTAGACATTTCTAGATATGAATGGTATAGTTTTATATTTTTAGGAATATATGCGTTGTTTTAGTTTGTATTTAAGAATTTATATGAATATGAGATGTATATATTTAGACATTTCCAGGTATGAGTGGCTTAAATGATATTAATTTAGGACTGTTTATATTTTATGTAGTTAGACATATCCAGGTAAGAGTAGCATAGATGGTATTAATTTAGGAATGTATATATGAATACATGAGTTGTATAGTGTATATTAAGACATTTCTAGATGTTTGGGGGGAGGGGGTGGATGGTCAAATGGTTAGCTGTATCATAAGGTCTGTCATTGAGTCAACTTGCGGGGTTTCGATTCCCTGGTTGTACATGACAAGGAGAAGGGTCGCCTTCCAATCTTTGGGGTTTTCTCTGCGTCCTTCGGTTTCCTCCCACTGCTAAAGACCCTTACACGCAAGCGAATTATTGAAAATTGAACCCTGTGTTAGTCCCGAAATGACCGAGTTTGTGTCGAGTCTCTCTCTCTCTCTCTCTCTTTCTCTCTCGATGTCAGTGGTATAGATATTACATAATTTCTATGGTTATATGAGTGGTATAGTTTGATATCGCCGAGTTTGTCATCTATCCTTGATAGACAATGTAAACGGCCAATATATATATAAACATGCAAACTGCCTAACTGATCACCAGTAAATATTCGTTTGGCCGCCAATATCACCGATATAACAGGCTACATGGTAAGACTGTCAACTAGATTCTACACGATTCAGGGAGTAGTGTAGCTTCTGTGACATTGCCAGCATGCATTGAATGACATGTAAATGTTGAAATTCCAATATAAATATATGGACACGTCGTTGTTCTAACAATGGCCATAGTCTCTAAATGGCCGTGCTATCGGCGTTGAAGAGACGGAAATGGCCCTAAATTCAATAGCCTAGAATGAATAGTTCAATATGGCATCATATTAATTTATTTAAACAGCATAAATTGAATCTGTTGAATATGACATCATGTTAAAGGGACAATAACACTCTTGCTGGCTTGACAGCTCCAGAAAATAAATAATAGCCTTATTCTAAGTACTAGATGTTTAACTGTCCTACCTGTTGTGTAAATTATCCATTACATCCTATTTTACGTGTCCAGAGGATTCAAAAATATTTTTAAATCCAAGTTACATTTGAAAAGGTTTACGTTAGGCTTTTCAAACCATTTAGTTGAATTTTTCCAATTTTTTAAATTAGGTGTGTTAAGATGAAATTTGTATCATCAATTAATTGGAATATTGTAAAAAAAAGTACAATTTGTTGACCAGAATAAAGATTGGGACATATTATTCAGTTACAACAAGAGTGGTATTGAGCCTTTAATTTGAACGGAATATAACGAAACTGTTCAATATGATATGATATTAATATAAACAGACTAAATTGAATATGATATATTATGATATATTATATATGATGTCTAGAATGAACAGTTCAATATGACATCATGTTAATATAAACAGCATAATTTGAATCTGTTCAATATGACATGATGATAATTGAATAATTATGTATGTTATATTGATGTTAATTTCAACAGCAGTCCAAATTGAAAATATTCAATATGACACGTATATAAGTAGGGCGTTAAACCCAATTCCATCCATGTGTTCAATATGACATATAATTTAAACTGTATAAATAGCATTCAATAAGATGTTAATTTTAATACCTTGTGTTATTAGAGTGTATATGTAACCCGATCTGTCAAATATATAGATATAGTAGTAGATCTATTGTTTATATTGACACTACCCATTATATACACCCCAGGTAACATACATACACTCTATACATATATCAACACACCTGACAGGTAGGACGACAAGATAATCTACTCACAGGTAAATATCTTACTGAATTCCTAGTTAAATTTAACAAGCTTGTCGATCTTACTGAATTCCTGGTCAAGTTTACTAATGGTAATTTTAGGTGCCCGTTTGCTATAATATATTTTATTGAATTCCTAGTTAAATTTAACAAGCTTGTCGATCTTATTGAATTCCTGGTTAATTCTATTAATCGTAATTTGCAGGTGCCTGTTTTGTATATACAATGTATCTTACTGGATTCCTAATTAAATTAAACAACTTTACCAATCGTAGTTTGTAGGTACTCTTATACTAAATAGCTTACTGCATTCCTAGTTACAGTTTAACAAGGTGACCAACCGTAGTTTGCTGGAGCCCTTATACTAAATACCTTAGTGAATTCCTAAAACCTTACCAATCGTAGTTTGCAGGTGCCCGTATACATGTACTAAATACCTTACTGAATTCCTAAAACCTTACCAATCGTAGTTTGTAGGTACTCTTATACTAAATACCTTACTGCATTCCTAGTAAAAGTTTCACAAGGTGTTCAATCGCAGTTTGCAGGTGCCCGTATACTAATTTTCTTACTGAATTCCTAATTAAAGTTAACGAGCTTACAAATCGTAGTTTGTAGATGCCCGTTGACTAAATATCTTACTGAATTTCTAGTTGAAGTTAATCGAGTTTACAGGTGCCCGTATACTAATTATCCTTCTGAATTCCTAATTAAAGTTAACAAGCTTACAAATCATCCGTTGACTAAATATCTTACTGAATTTCTAGTTGAAGTTAATCGAGTTTACAGGTGCCCGTATACTAAATATCTCTAGTTAAATGTAACAAGATTACTCATCGTAGTTTCTAGGTGCCCTTATACTAAATCTAAATCAGGGAGGAAGGGGGTTCTCCTAGATTATTTTGGGACTAACATACGGTAATTTCTATGTACAATAGCCACTTGTACAATGATATTAAACGATTAAGATACTACAACTACAATGAGATTGTGGGGAGATTTTTTAAATACATATCACAGTTTCTACCGGTTATCTGAATTGGGGGGTTGGATGGCTGAATGGTTAATGCGTGCGCGCTGCATCATAAGGTCTGGCATTGAGTCAACTGGCGTGGTTTCGATTCCCCGGCTGTACGAGACAAGGAGTAGGGTCGACTTCCAACCTCGTGGGTTTTCTCCGGGTCGAAACGTCGTGCTATATGTGTATAAACCAGTGATTGTTTTCCATATAAATTGTGTTGTGTTTTTAATGCGCCCAAATCGTTATATGCTGAAGGATTATACTTTCAGTGTATGAGGGGGGTTTACAAAGTTGATAATTTCTAACTAATGTTTACTACCGAAAACTTGAATCTTTTATTAATAAAATCTTGAAATCTCTACCACACTGTAACAGTCGCACGTCCCATAACACTGTGTAAACTCAATTTGACACAGTCATTACAAGAAACCGTTCTATAGATAATATTTGCTTAATAAAGACGAACTGATCATCGTCGCCTTGAATAAGCTTGCCTGTCATACTGGTTTTGTAATCTACTAAATTCCACGTGTCATTCCTTTTATATGTCCCCCTAAACCAACCAATTTATTATCTAACTTGTTTATAGTAATATATGTTACTAAAGTGTTTTGTATGTTTAAATATGGTGATGTCACGCGCTAATACTTCTATATTGATATGGTCTATAATTAGTGAGGTGTGAATGATCGGTTCTACTCTTCTCTATTTATTAACACTGTTAAATATTTAAAGGGCCAATCTTGATTATATTTGGGAGAATAAAACTACTTAAAGGACCTAAGTCCGTAACTCAAAATCCTCCAAAATCTTCGACATCGAAAACACGAATTATTGGTCAATTTAAATCAACATTGATGATGTAAACTTACCGGGAAAAGATGAGCTTCTGATATCCGATATTTAAGATAAAATAATTTTTTTAACATTGGTACACGAATCGTGTACCATAATGCGCTTCAGCCCCAGTTGTATTGAGAGACTCGAGGGACGAGGCTAGACACATTGCACCAAATCAAATGAAGTTATGTAGACTAGAATAACTAGACGCCAGAAATTTGCACTCGATTGAGATTGCTGACTTATTTCGCCGAACATAACTGATTTGAAATTGGAGTAAAAACGGAAACCATTAAATGTAAATCAGTTTATATACATTCATATTACAGTATTATATGCGTTGCGACCCACCTTTCTGAATTTCTAGGTCCCAAAATGTTAGCGATTTAGCTCCTTTAATTTTGTGTAAATAAAGTCATTAAAAGCCTCTACCTTAGGGCCTACAGGCCACAATTCTATGGAATACAATTACTGCTTGTTACTGAGCGACGTTTCAACTAGGCCTCTCTAGTCATTATCAGGCAACGTCGATCAGTAATAAGTAGTAATTGTATTCCATAGATTTTGGACGTATATACTCCGGTTCAATTACTAAATGCCATTGAAACAATTTACCTTAGGGCCGAGCAACTACGTCAATATACGGAAACGTTTTCAAACAACTTAAACCCATCAGTCTTTATCGGAAAATGGAGACCGGTGCCCCAAGCTCTATTATACGGTGTCTGGATAAAATCAGACTTTTATTTCATACAAAAGAACATGTAGGTTAAAATTACCGTTCGTTATCAAGTACAGCGCATGCTTCAAGCACCGTTTTGACCTCTAAAGGAACGATAATAGATTATCAGGTCATCCAACGAAAAAATTGACCCAAAATCTTGAAAGGGTTACGTGTCCGGATAAACGGTTTTGGTGTTCAAATTTCCGAGACTCTGATAAAACCGGGATGGTCCCTTTAAGATTGTTTAAAGAGCAAATATCTGTGTCGCCGATATATCACAAAAATAGTACTGAATTTGAAATGTGTTGACTTAAAGGAGCTAAACCTCTTTTAAGAAAACTCAATATTTTTCATAATATTCAAATTTAAAAACACGGATTAGAATGACGTAGCAAAAGAAAGGGGAATGAAATGGTGTTTAACGTCCTACTTTTCTGCACCAACTGGGCTAATAGAGACGGGCATACAGCACACAGTGTGTAACGAGGGAAATATGGCACTGACAGTGGCGCAACAGCACACCCTTGCCGATTTCCCACTATCAGAGGATCCGAGTTGTATTTTAACCAATTAATTCACAGATTTATGCTGATCATTAAAAATGTTGGCGTATAAAAAGAGATAAGATTTGGTGTGATTGCGTACGGATTCTAAGACAACTCTCGCTCTCTGTTGTTTCGAATACAGACGCAGATGGTATATTATAATAATAATAATTTATTCTTATATAGCGCATTACAATATTATACAAATTATATATCTCAACGCGCTTTATAATGTTGTGGATAGAAGTTGAAGTAAATTATATCAACATTTCTAAGCATTGTAATTGATTGTAATCCCTTTAAACAAAAAAAAAAAGTTTTTAACGATGATTTAATATTTCTAATTTTAACAGGTAATTCTTTCCAAGTCTTAGGTGCGCTGTGCATAAATGCCCTATCCCCATATTATATTGATGTTGGTGCATCACGTTAAGAAATGATTTCACAGCTTGACGAAGTTCTGGTAGTCTTAATGTAAGAGCGAGGAACTAAAAGGCTATTAAGAGTTACCTCTAATTAACTACTTTGGAATATTATCTAACTACCAGGACTATCTCATTTCGAAATGAAATGAAATGGGGTTTAACGTCCTACTGTGATAATGAAGACGGGCATACGCCATATAGTGTGCTATGAGGGTAATTTTGCCCGGACAGCGGCACTACGGCCTACTCTTATGTCGAATTTCAATAGTCAAGGGATCTTTTACGTGCACACGAATGAACGTTTTTGCGTTCCATCCGAATGATTAAAGGGACAATAACACTCTTGCTGGCTTGATAGCCCCAGAAAATAAAAAATAGCCTTATTCTAAGTATTAGATGTTTAAGTGTCCTACCTGTTGTGTAAATTATCCATTAAATCCAGAGGGTTCGAAAATATTTTTAAATCCAAGTTACATTTGAAAAGGTTTACGTTAGGCTTTTCAAATCATTTAGTCGAATGTTTCCAATTTGTTTATATTAGGTGTGTTAAGATGAAATTTGTATCATCAATTAATTGGAATATTGTAAAATAGTGCAATTTGTTGACCAGAATAAAGATTGGGACATATTATTCAGTTACAACAAGAGTGGTATTGAGCCTTTAAACAGCTGTCCTTGTCAGACCCTCCGTCCTGCATCACTGACAAGGGAGAACCACGAAGGGAAATCTGGATGAACGGTCTCGGCCAATGCAGGGCTCGAACACCCGACCGCCAGACTAGCGAGCCAGCATCTTACCCACTTAGCCACCGTGAACCCCATCTCATTTCGAACAACGAATGTGAAAACTATGAAAATATACAATGATATCTTTCTATTTCAGAATATGGTGTATTGTTCCATACGTGAGTATGACCGGGACAAAGAAAACATCGCCTCTTCTCAAATTGCCTAATTTAACTTCTAATGATACCGGATGTAGATCAGATTATACAGAATCGACCTTGATGATCGAGACACCAGCGATTGATCAACTTCAAACTCACAGAGAAGATGTTAGATTATTCCAAGTAAGAAAACCATAAGGACGTAACAAGACAAAATCAGTCTAATTTCGTTTCATTTTTGTGGTTCTGGTTAGATTACTTACTCAAAATTGGGTCGCGTAAAATATAAAACGAAATAAGGGAGAGAGAGAGAGAGAGAGAGAGAGAGATAGGGGGATTTAATAGTGTCTCTTTAATATGTCCCAAATAGCGTCGGATCTAAATCCCACCCGTTAGACCATTCGATCATAAAGCAACACAGCCTCACCCCCACCCCCTCCCACGAAAACTGGATTAAGAAATATTTGATTTCTGTGGCTGATCACGTGTTTTCTCTTTCAATCTATAGGATATAATTATGTGGCCGATTATATACTATTCAAAAAAAGTAGGGGATATTTGATTTTGGGGGCATAATACTAAAATATGCAAATGACTACGAAAAAAGTCACTATAGAACCTAACAGAAGAAACATTTCCAGTTACATGTGACGCCCAAACGCACCAATAGCTACCGCATGGAATGCAGGTGATGTATGGGATCATCATGGGGGTCCAACCCAAGATTTGCACGACTCTGACTTTGAATGTTACAGTCATTGTGGCATTGAATTCCAGGGTGGAAACATCAGTTTAATTGTTTTAGTGACCAGAAAACAAATTTTGATATGCGTCGGCTTACCCAAAATGAAAGGTTACGTGCCCTTGGCATGCTACATATCGGCACAACACAGGCGGTTGTGGCGCGGACGATGAATGTTTCTCAGTCTGTCATAAGCAGGCTATGGTCCAGATACCGTGATACACAATCTGTACAGGACAGACCACGCTCAGGTCGACCAAGGGCGACAACTCAAGCCCAGGATCGATTTATCCGTTCCTTGGCCTTGAGAAATCGTGTCATCACAGCAAATCAGATCAGCGCTCGTCTTCAAACAGACACTGGTGTGAGAGTGAGTGGCCAGACGATTCGGAATCGACTGCATAGGGGTCACCTTCGCGCCCGACGTCCTCGCGTGATCCCTTGTTTGAGAGATCATCACATTCAGGCAAGACGTCGTTGGTGTAGGGATCGTCAACACTGGGATAATCGACGCTGGAGCAATGTGATGTTTTCAGATGAGTCATGGTTCACTGTTGATTTTTTGGACAGACGTAGGAGGGTGTGGCGTCGTCGAAACGAGCGCTTCCAAGACGTTAACGTCATCAGACATGATCGATTTGGGGGTGGTTCTGTTATGGTGTGGGGAGGCATCACTGTTGCTGGAAGAACGGCTTTACATGTTGTTGCAGGGCGTGTTACAGGCCAGTACTACCGGGACAACATCTTGGCAGTCCATGTTGTGCCATTCGCACGACGTCATGGCCGCCGTTTCATCTTCCAGGATGACAACGCAAGATGTCACAGGGCCAGGATCGTTACAGGTTACCTCCAACAACAGAACATCACCACATTACCTTGGCCAGCACTGAGTCCCGACCTCTCCCCCATCGAGCATGTCTGGGACATGCTTGGACAGAGGTTACGTCAACGTCAACAACGTCCTGCCAATGTCCAAGAACTTGCTGCTGCGTTGCAACAGGAATGGGACAATCTGGACCAAAATGACCTTAGACGTCTCATTAGGAGTATGCCACGTCGGATCAATGCTTGTTTGGCAAACAGAGGAGGATTTACCCGTTACTGACTTGGTTGTGATGCTGTGGTAACTTTGCTGTTTGACCCCGGGTATCATTTTACCCTTATAATGGTCAGTCTGTGCCTTACTTAGTCTAACGATCATTTGGAATAAATCGATGAATGTGAACTTTATTTCATTTTGTCATTTGTTTCTTCGTCAGTTTCATTAGGTGACTTTAATAACACTTAAAAATCAAATATCCCCTACTTTTTTGAATAGTATAGTACACGTGTTATCGATCAGCCCCTGTTAATGATCGAAAAAGCGCCGCCATTCCAATAGTAGGTGAACAAGTTCATCACATTAAGCCTCTCGTGGGCGACTGGCCAACCTCCCATTTGTCCAATAGCGGGATACGGTTGTTTTGTGTCACTCGCGCATAGATCATACTTTTTTATAACTGATATGATCATCTTGAAGCGAGACCCTCAACCAGAATTTGTGATTGAGTGCAAGCATCTCAAGGATGTTAGTTGGGATTTTTACCATTGTCAATCATTACACCTAACCGGGCCTATATCGTTAAATACTAGACTTTTTATTGTAAATTTAATTGTATATATATAATTTTCATCTTTTCATTTCAAATGTTTATATGCGTAGTTAGTTATATCTATTTTTCAATTTGATGTTTGTTTTTATATGCATATAGTTTTGTTATATATTTGAGCCTGTCCCACTTTTCACCATATGGGCTTGACTTGCCATAAAACTCCATTTCATTCATTCATTCATTTATTCATCCATCCATCCATCCATCCATTTATTTTTTTAACTTACTAACTTACATCTGTTTGGGGTTTTTATCCAGGAAAACTATCGATGTTATGGAAGAGAGAACGAAATCAAAACCATAAACCAAATACACAAAATAAAACAGGATCTGAACAAGGCTATGCCCTTTCGACTTCAAACCAGGAACCAGGACAATACGCCAACGGGAACAGCCAAGGCCCCTGAAACCTCTTCTTCTTCCACATACGCAAAAAGAACAAAGTATCATAGAATGAGCCGAAATAATTTCTTACGGAATGACAGCGCTTCCGGCGATTCCTTTCAGTGGTCACAGATTACAGACCAGGTCGTGATCAATGGTCAACTATCAACTCCAACGCTACGACCGAGACGAAAACGACCAAAATGGCCGCCCGGATTACAAAATGAAAGTAGTACTCCAAGTTTTTCTCATAAATATGCAGATCAAGTTCTTCCGGGATTGGGAACGAGTGAAAATCGTCCGCCGCAACTTTATCCTGAACATACGCATAAGTGCTTTGGACCTTCCTCTAAAATAAAACCGATAAAAACTCTGGGCTGTGTTTTAGCTAAACATGGTTACGACATGACGGATCCTAGAACTTCCGGGGTATCGGGAAGGCCTACACAATATTGCCATTCGGATAAATACATGGCTTCGAGGATTAACACCAATATCATTGATACTACGTGTTATGACGAGTTTTCCCGCATCTCCGAGACAATTCGCCCGGATGATAAATTACCAAGTTTCACTCCAAGAACCAATGACTATAGTTTATCTCGATCTGAAATGGGCCGATGTTTTCCGGTGTTTACGTCTGATGGCGGACCTATGAGAAAACATGGCCACGTCGGTCCTCTTTCTCCAGGAAGATCCAGTAATATTTAACGGGTGTTAAATTTACTCACTTACTGGATTTACTCACTTGACTTGCAATGTTAGTGTGCTGTGTTCCTTATATGTCGAATTCTGTTTATGTGCATTGTGGTTCTCCTTACTTATGAAAGTCTTAGAGGTCAAGGCCATGCTTAATCACATATTCTGTTGGAAACGAGATAGTACTATTCTTGATTTTTTTCTGCAGTGTTCGTGTGTTGTGTGCCTTGTATGTCTGATTCTGTTTATGGGTAATGCGGTTACTAATGAAAGTCTTAGAGGTCAAGGTCATACTCAATCACATAGGAGATGCTCGATTCCTAGTCCAGAACGTCCCGAAATAACAGAATTGCAATCGAGTAACGCGGAATTCAGTTCTGTCACAGTTTTGTCAGTGTGAGTAGAATCGTGACGTAATTAAACACAACGAATATGTTTCGACTGTATGGTTGGTTGAGATATTTACTTACTCCGTCGACGCATGCGTTGTAGCCCGAAATCCACCTTTTCACTCGATTGTCACTATTTTTGGAGATTGAGAGTTTTCAATTCCAGAACGTTCAATCGGGTACCCCCATATTCTGTTGGAAACGAGATAGTACTATTAATTATAATACACAATGTAACGGGTTTAGTTCTTGTGGTCCAGTCACTTGGTTTGGTAGAACGTTTGTTATTTATTGCTTGTAATGTTCGTGTGGTGTGTTATGTCCGCGGGTTTGTCTTCTGGGTTTATGTCTATATGTGATGCGGTTATCCAGTATTTACTAATAAAATGATGTAGAGGTCAAGGTCATACTCTATCACATAATTATAGTACTATTATTTATACTACCCGCCGTTTCTACTTGCACACATACATAATTAATGTATTAACAGAGACTAGTCATGGAGTTTAATATTACACAAATTTAAAACATACTCCTTTCTCTAAAAATACAGTTGGTTCCATTCTGATGGACAGAGATGGAAGGGTGCAATAATATGTATTCGCGTTGAATTTTCACCGTGGGTTACGGACGCTAAATCCGCCTTAGATTCGTTTAGTGGCATTGGTGTTCGCTATGGGTCATTGTGAATTCGAGGGAAATATGGCAATTGATTGCACGTCGACATTTTGATATTATCATGTACTTTTGTACTCTTACCCAAGTACTTCCAAATACAAAGGGGAGACACGGTGGTTAAGTGAGTAAGACGCTGGTTCACTATCTTGGAGGTCGCGGGTTCGATCCCGGTGTTAGTCGATAAAGTTTATATCGGGAGTTTCAAGCGTGATTTCCCCTTGTCAGTGGTGCAGACGAAGGGCCTGACAAGAACGGCTGTGTATTGTCATTCGGGTGGGACCAAAAACCGAGGTCCGTGTACACATTGGCGTGCACGTAAAATATTCCTTGGCATAAGAGCAAGTCGTAGAAAAATTGAGTTCATGGCACACTGTATGATGTATGCCCGTCTTCATTAGCCCAGTCGGGGCAGAACGGTAGGACGTCAAACCCCATTTTATTTCACCGAATTCCAACTGTTGAGTGTTGTTTTATATGCACGCAACGTGTCCACGGGACCTTGGGTCCTCCGCAGTCACGTCTCTTACGACTATACACTTCTTTTTCATTTGTACGTTCTGGGTGCTACCTGTAATGTTTTGGGGTTATTAGAAACGGTTAAAAGGAGCGGCCGGAAATGTTTTAGGATTTAGTTTAATATAATTTTAAAGGTGTAGAAAACCCACTGTGGGTAGCGGTGTTTCAATTATGACATTGGTTTATTTTGAGAAACAGTTGGAAAGTATAGCCACAAAAACTGTTTGTTTTTTTAAATGTTTACGGTCTTTGGTCGTCATTTGCGTTTTCAGGACACCAAATAATTTTTCATTGCCTAGCACATGATAAATCGTTCCTTCGTTTCTGGGGTTTTACGCCCACTTCCACCAAGGGTGATATCGTGAAAGAAATGGGGTTTAACGTCCACTCGACACAAACTAGGTCATTTCGAGACTAACACATGGTTCAATATTATTTCCATAATTTGCTTGCGCTCAGGGGTCTTTAACAGTGGGAGAAAACCGGAGGACCCGGAGAAAACCCACGAGGTTAGACCCAACTCCTTGTCACGTACAACCGGGGAAACGAAGACACGCCAGTTGACTCAACGACAGACTTTATGATACAGCGCGCACGTGCTAACCATTCAGCCATCTAACCCCCAGGTGATATCGTAGACAACAATGATAAAATGTTCTTTATTACATATTTAACGTCCATAAATATGATATTAAGGACATATTGATTTAATTAAATTATTTACACTTCAAAAATGGTTAAAAACACTAAACAAAAAAGTCCTCGGATATCAAAAGTTCCTTAAAACACACTTATAAATTCGCTGTCGTGAGAAGACAGGGCGGGTCATCTTCTCCCTTTGTCATTATTGATAAAATGTACTCAATTACCATTTAATAAAACAATAGTAGATAATCTCCCGGCTTGGGTTCAGAAGGCCTCAAAGCAGCTCATTAATGGTCGACAATCTTCCGGCTTGGGTTCGGCCAGCTTTAAAAGAAACTCAATAGATTCGAGTGAAGATTAAAAGTCGGCGATAACTCCCCGTCATTACTCGTTTATATCTCGCTTGAAGAGGATGCCTAGTATTGACAATAGCTGTGTAACTACAGAACGGAATTCAACCATTTTGGTCTAATGTTCTGAGAGATCCAGCGTTCACCAATGATATGATATTCACAGAGTTTAATGATCTTATATAATATGAAATGAGAGGGGGGCGGCAACACGATTGAAAGAGGAGCAGAGGCTGAACAGGCCAGTAGATAGGTATTTAAAAATCTTATTAAAGTAAGTCAGTGGTTCTCAACCTTTTTTGCCAACGGCACACCTTGGAACATAGGAGAAAATAGTGGCACACCTGGCTAAATATATATGAAAAATATATGAATTTTACAAAGTAAAAACATGGTAAGTCATATACGGCATAGGATCGTAGATACCTACTAGTCATAGACATGTAGAATGACTCAAACTAAATGAAGAAAAACACAGCTATGAACTTAACAGCAGACAGCAGTGAATGCTCAAATGAGATCACGTGGTTTTTCGCATTTTTCTTAGTGAGCCTTTTACAATTTAGCGGCATACTGGTTAATTGAGAATCACTGAAGCAAGTGAAATGAAGTAAAAATAACAATTCCTTGCGGTGGCTCAGCTTGTAAGGCATATTATTGACCCCGTATGAATAATACATTTACAAACGTCTTTATTATATGAAATTCTTTATTTTCACGTGCATTGGATGAAGCTGTTGAGTGTGATTAGCTCCAGTGGATGACAATAGTTCAATAGATATTTACAAATGTATGTTGTACAAATTGTATGTATTTCGAGTTAACATTATACATGTATAAGGTTTTATTGCTAAAATATTTCACACCATTAGGTAGCTCATGAGGTAACAATTAAAGGGGTCAAAACTGGTTGAAGAGTTCGTGGGAGCACTGATAAGCACCCTATCAAAATTCAGATGTGAAGGAAAGGCCGGACGGGTTTCATATAACTGTGACTTTACTTCTGGTAGGCGTATAATGATAGGCCCATGTTCCGATGAATTTAAATAAGTAGTTTAACTGTCGACGAGTTTGCGTGTGGACGGGTTAACTAACTTCCGTTGAATGATGCAGGCCTTGTTTAAAATCGTGTTGTTGTTTATTACAAATTTAACGTCCGATACATTATACATGATATGATTGACAGGGTGGGTTAATTAAGTTTATTTACATATGATGGACAGGTTGGGTTAATTAAGATTGTTTACATATCATGAAGGAGTAAGATACCGAAAATGGGTAAAAACATAAAAAGGTTGTTGCATATAAAATTTGTTGGTGATATTGCGTACATATTATGGAGAGAGAGAGAGAAATGTGGTTTAACGTCCATTCGACACAAACTAGGTCATTTCGGTAATAACATATGGTTTAATTTTTTTATTTCAATAATTCGCGCATGCGCGCAGGGGTCTTTAGCAGTGGGAGGAAACCGGAGGACCTGGAGAACCACGTACAACCGGGGATTCAAAACCACGCCAGTTGATTCAATGACAGGCCTTTTTATGATACAGCGCGCACTTGCTAACTATTCGGCCATCCACCCCACCCCACCCCACCCCTCCCTTGCGTATTATGCTTTTAATTTCAAATACATATGATATTAAGTTATTTGCGTATTATGTAGTAGTAATAGAAAACGGGCGGTAACAACATGCGAAATGTCACTTTAAAACAAAGTTTTAAAATTCGTTGTCGTGAGAAGAGAGAGAGAGCGGGGGAGGGGGTAACGTCCACCTGACACAAACTAGGTCATTTCGGGACTAACACATTGTTCAATTTTATTTCAATAATTCGCTTGCGCATAGGGGTCTTTAGCAGTGGGAGGAAACCGGAGGACCCGGAGAAAACCCACGAGGTTGGACAGGCGACCCTACTCCTTGTCACGTACAACCGAGGAATCGAAACGCCGCCAGTTGGCTCAATGACAGGCCGTATGATACAGCACGCACGTGCTAACCATTCGGCCAAACGAGCACCACCCCCCCCCCCCGCTCCCGCCCGAACAAATAAGATGGCATCGAGAGTTGATTATGGTCTTCGTGTTAATAAATGTCTAATTAATAGTTCATATAACATTTCAGACCTAAAGAAAGACCTGCAATAGTCAGATTTAACTCTTGCGTAATGCATGTTTAAATGTTAAATATGAGTAAAAAGTGAAAAAAATAGATATCGTTCTTAAAAATATAAATTAGAAGAAATTAAAAATTATTACTATCTTTCTCCTGATATTAAAACAGAATAGATAAGGGGAAATACCCTCCGGAAAATGAAATTTTACCAGGGGCCTTATTTGACTTCCTTCAGCGTGATATCGGGTTGATTTTTTCGCCTGAAATATTTTAAGACGTAATTGCAACTTGTAAGATGATTGACTGTGTTAAAGATACGACTCTTTAGGTTGTTGTGTCAGAGATACGGTAGGAAATAAACATCAAGGTCAGCGGTCTATGATTTAATTAGTGGTGTAACTCCATAAACGTAAAACATAGTCTAGATTGATTAGCCAAGTATGACATTAGTCCGACGGCGTAACAAACGTAGTCTCGGTTAGCTTAGTTGGGTTATTGATGTAAGGCAATGTTGTGTTCGATTAGGCGAATGGATCCGATTACTACTACTAGATACTGCCAATTTGTGACTTTTCCTTGTTTTGAAAGAACGTGTAAAAATGTAATAGATTTTAAAAGCAATTACGCACAGAACTGTACAACAACAATGTAACCGCTATGGCGGCCCGCAATCCGAACAAATCAGAAAATGGCTGTAGTTACAACATGGCGGTTTCATGGTGTAGTGGTTATCACGTCTGCTTAACACGCAGAAGGTCGCGAGTTCGAGCCTCGCTGAAACCTCATAATTTTCTTTCTCTTCCGTATGTCTTTACTGTGAAATAGAATTAAATATCAAATAATATCACACTTGTCCATTCAAACAGAATAACCTATAAAGAATTGACTGTTTTAATCCGATTGAATCCAAGCGGGAGGATTATCTACCGACACCGTTAATATTTTGATTTTGCCCAATTTTGGTTTCTTTAATAATTAATTAATGTTACATTGTTAACTTGAGTACATTTGAATTTTGAGCGTGGATCATACCGTGGAATATTTCTGAAAAATGCAATTTT